GATGTATATTGTTGCCCTGTAGTCTTGTTGTGACTGTATTGTTAGTCACATTCCAGACGTAGAGTATGAATAGTACCGTTTGCTGTAAGTATGGGTTTACAGGGGTCTCTACAAACAAACCCTGCTGGCAGCGACCAGGAATGGCAGCATAATGCGCCATCACCATCATACAGGTCATCGCCCGCACCAGCTTCCGCAAGGCAAACACCCTAAAACCCTAAACCCTAAATCATCATCCGCACCAGAATCCGAAGGCAAAAACCCTAAACCCAAAACCCAAAACCGTGCTGTTTTAAGGAACCCTAAACCCAAAACCGTGCTGTTTTTCTTAACGAAATGAGCGTGCAATGAGCGTGCCCCTTCGGCCCTTCAGCAGCCTCCGGGCAGCAGCAGAACTCGGAGCGGACGTCGGAGCTACTTCCCCCGTCGCTGGCGCAGGCGTAGGCTCCCAGGGCCTCTTAGTGACGGAGTCTTCGGCTCGGTGAGGCTCGGGCTCTGTTAGGGTTTAGGGTTTGTCTTTAAAGTTTAGCGTGTAGGGTTTAGAGAATGCAGGGGCCTTAATAAAAAGTTAGGAAGAGGGTTTGTTTTAAGGGCTCCTTCATAGTAGGAGTGATAAACAGGAGCCCCTAAAAGAGCCTTTTGGCCGTCTCGAAGAGCCAGAGAGTCAGAGTCTCCCAATTAGGGTTTAGGGGTTTCAGTCTTTGGGGCTTGGCATTTCGGTTTAGGGTTTAGGGTCTAGGGTCTAGGTTTTTTTTTAAAGGGTTTAGGGTTTAGGGTTTGGGGCTTCAGTCTTTGGGGTAGTTGGGGGTCTCGAACTTGTGATTTTGAGGTTAGGCTTCAGGGGCCTCGTAACCCAGAATCCCCAGGAGCTGCTCAGACCAAAAGGAAGCCCAAAAGGGTGGGTTGCTGCAAGCCAGGGTACCTGCATGCTCGTGACCAGAATGAAGGCACACTTTAGGGTTTAGGGTTTCGGGGTTTAGGGTCAGCGCTGTTCACAGAATCTCAACCGTGGTTGATTGAAGCATAAGGCGGGTCCAACAAGCATCAGACAACACTGAAACCGAATCCTTTGACCCCATGGCAGGTTCTCAGAGGCCACCACCTGCTGGCTGCAGCGCACAGTGTCAACCACTAACATCTTCGCATGGGAGAAGCCAGCCCTTGCCTCCCCAAACCCTAGACCCAAAGAGCCCAATACCCCTTAATTGAGGAATATACCTTAAGTGATAGGGGCCCTGATATTATGATTTAAGGCATATATTCCTCAATTCAGGGGTATTGGGCTCTCTGGGAACTCTGAACCTCAAACACCGAACCTGGGGTCGGATTCACCCTAGTTGTGCTATAGTCCGACAAAATTGAGCCCCAAGGCCTAGCTGTCGCTATAGTTTAGGGTTTAGGGTTTAGGTTTCAGGGTTCAGGGTATAGTTCTTTTGGGGGAGCATGACCAAGTACGGAGAATAAGGAAACCCTGAACATCTGGAGTCTTTGGAAACACTATGCCTAGACCCTGCTCAAAAGATCACGGGACTTAGTAACTAAGGTTATAAATGAGGCATCTATACTTATAGTTACCGTATACCATATACCCCTCCAATGTCGGTATTTTTTACCTTGCTTACTAAGCCCCATGATCCTCCAAGTAGGTAAAAACCTTAAACCCTAAACCCTAAAAACTAAATCAAAACCCTAAACCCTAAACCCCGAACCATACCACTGCCCAAACGGGTTTTAGGGTTTCGTGAGTTTCGTGGAGCAAAGCCAACCTGGCCTCGCATCGTTGCCAAGATGGCCGGGGGAACATCGCCAGTTCACCGTCCTCCCAAAAGGGGTTTAGGGTTTAGGGCTTTGGGTTTAGGGTTTGGGGGTTTAGGGAATAGGGGTTTAGGGTTTAGGGGTCCTCCCAGGATGTTTCAAACTGTGGTGCCGAAAGGATTTCATGAGGTCTGATAGTGTTGCTACTACAAGAGTGTTCTGGCTCTTCCATTCGGGGCTCTGCTTTTAGGTTGAGTCTGGGGTTGAAGGATTAAGGTTTGGAGACCGAAAGTAAGGTATGTTTAGGTGTTTGTTGCAGGATGTCCTCATTGCCTGTCCATTGGCCGCAACTGCAGGCCACACTGCTACGCCCTCATACACTTCTTGTAACACCGTTTGCCAGCTGTTTGGGGTTTGCCGAATACGTGTGGGCAGGGGCATCGAGACACCATTGCCACAGCGACAAAATACGTAAAGAGCTTACTGAAGGAACACGCCCACACAGTAGATGAACAGGATCTCTCTCTCTCTCTCTCTCTGTATATATATATATATACACATATATATATAATTATATATGTATTTTTCTAATATATATATATAATCATATATGCTTTAACATGGCTGAAGGCATTGTCCAACATGATTGCAGGGCAGTAGGCAATGGGGGGCTCTCTGAGTGTGACTGGGAGTCCTCGCTGTCGGAAGTCGCAAACTCCGAGCCTGGGCATCCCAAAGACTCCCATATCTTTAAGAGTACTGTAGGGTTTAGGGGTTTAGGGGTTAGGGGTTTAGGGGTTTAGGGGTTTAGGGGTTTAGGGGTTTAGGGTTTAGGGGTTTAGGGGTTTAGGGTTTAGGGTTTTATATTGTTCCAGATTCTGAAGATAGCAAGGAATTCTTTGGGTGTTTCTTCTTCGCAGATCCCTATCAAGGAGGCACATTTCTTCTCCGTTCAGTGTGATAGAACTCGGTTCTTAGGTTTAAAGCAAAGAGAGGGAGTGGTTCTGGTGCGTGAAGGCTCGGATTGCCACGATTGATTCATGAATCAAGCTCCGCTTAGGGCCTCAGTGTGCAGGGTTTAGAGTTTAAGGGTTCCGTCCGTAGGTTGAGGTGTTTCTGAGCCGAAGTCGTGCTCCGTTACGGTGCGGTGCCCATTTTGTGTGGTCTGGGGAGCCTCCAGGGATCCCTTGCAATAGAAGGGCGGTGTTAGTTAGAATAATTAGGGTTTTCGAGTATATTTGAATCGTTAGAATATGGAATCCCAACACAACTCTGGTACTTCTCTCGGCCTCTACATAGGTTCTTTCGCTAAAGCCTGCTGCCCTGAACTCCAAATCTCCAGTGCAAGGGACTCAAGGAGAGACCCTCAAAGGGACCCTTGGGGGGCTTTTATGAGACTATATAAGGGGCATACAAAGGTTATATAGGGTATTAGGATTAGGGGTCCCTTCTAGGGCTAACGGCTAGCAAGTGCTGCCCAAGAAACCATTGCTCCCGAAAGGGAGCCCCAGGACCAGGAAGAAGAGCCTTGCACAAGGGAGCCAGGCCCCTCTGTTGTGACTTCATGTAGGGCCCTTAATACTTGGACTAGGGTTTTGGGGGTTCCTTATTCTAATCATAGTATAATGACATGGACCGTCTAATTCTCAAGGTGCCTAGATTATCATTCATGGGGCCCTGTCTTTTCTTTGACTCCCACACGCCTAGAGACGCCTAGGCCGTTTGCTGTGCATTTCAGCTACCGTTTTGTCCTGCTGGGACGCATGGAGCCTTTCTGATCAGGATCCTACCAGTGAGGTGTCTATGTGGGTAGTTCTCTGAATTAGGGTCCCTTTGCAGGGTCCTTTTTGTAAGGGTGCCGCAGTATCTTTGGGACCTAGAAACGCCCCTAATTTAGAGAACCACCCATATTTGTCCAAAAGCCTCTCAGCGAAAGACCGGCTCCCTCTTTGATCAGGTTCTCCTTATGATATAAGGAAGCCTACTCCAAATTCTCCTGGGCTCCTCCGAACAAGCAGAGTTACAGCCGAACAGGTCGGGATCCCCTTTCTTCGGACTTGCAAAGAAATTCCTAACTTTCCGGACACCTTGGCACAAAACGTAGTGTTCTCCGAAAGGGGGTGAGGGGCCCCTTTTGCCGCTTAAGGGCTATGGGGCTTCTCAGTGGCCTCGGCCCTAAACCCTACACCCATAGAGCCCTAAACCCTAATCCCTAAACCCTAAACCCTACACCCATAGAGCCCTAAACCCTAAACCCTATAATCCCTAAACCCCCTTTCGGCCCCCTCCGGAAGCCGCTTCTTGCGGCCCAGAAGGCAAGACAGGTTGCAGCCGACCGCGAGGACACATGGCAGGCTCCAGCGACTCGTGGGGGTTTTAGGCTTTTGGGGCTTGGGGCTCAGGGTTTTGGGGTTAGATCTTTGAGGGTCTAGGGTTTAGGGTTTAGAGTTTTAGGGTTTATAGGGCTTAAGGTTTAGGGAGGAATGCTTAGATTTTTGGGTTTAGGGCTTAAGGCTTCGATTTTTAGGGGTTTTCGTGAGGGTTTAAGGGCTTGAGGGTGGGGGGGATGGCGACTGTAGGCCGTGGCTGGGCTTGGGGCGTTTTTGGGCTTTAGGCCCTTTCGGGGCTTAGAGGTCTGGGGCTTGCAGGGTTTATGGGGTTTTTGGGTGTTTAGAGTCTGGGGCTTAAGGGTTTGAGGTTGAGAGTCTGAAGGGGGTTAGGGTCCAGGGCTTAGGGTTTAGGGGGGGTTGAAGTAGAATGTGTGTTTCTTCTTTTGACCTAGACTCATCACTACGATGCTCCAGTGTGTATGCAGATCTACAGCGGATGGATCGTGTCGACCGCTTTTTCAGCGTCTCAGTCTGCGTCGAGGAGCAGCTCGCGCATTCACCCATATATCAAGGTCTCTCATAGAATTTGAGCTGAGCAGCTCCGGAGAAAGAGATGGCACGACATGCTTGGATTGTCCGAAGACCCTTTGTTGAAAGCTGCTCCTGACATGACCATGCGGCGAAAAAAACGGTGCCTGAAATCCAATGTTGCGACTCAACACGTGCGTGCCTGTGCCTCTCCAGCAGAACGCAAGCTGAACATGTCCATCGTGTCTCTCTCGCTCTCTCTCCAACATTCTCCAACACCCATCGATGAGATGCCTGTGAGCTCTTGACTTAACTAGGGGTCACCCTTTGTGTGCCAGGATTCATCACAAGGTTTCTTGCTGTAGTGGAGGGATCTCCACTCGGAGATTAGCGACACAGTGGCAACTTCCGCAGGTTGCTGCAACACGTGGGTCTTGGGGGGCGGGCCAGTGGGCCCTGAGAATTGTCCGGGCGGACGGACCAAGCAAAAGCCAAGAACCTCCCAACATAGAACCCCCCAAACCTTCCAAACCCAAAGCCCCAAAACCCAAACCCCAAACCCTAATGCCCCAAACCCTAAACCCCCAAACCGCCGCAGCCTTCTCCTGCTTTGCCGCCTTATTCTTCTCCTGTAGCTTGGCATCCCGGGCGCGACGATCGGCCAGCCTCGACCCGGCAAAAAGCAACTCCAAAGGATCCCTCGGAAGGCCCTGACTCAGTAACCTAAAGCCTAGGTTTTAGGGGTTAGGGTTAGGGTGTTGGGTTTAAGGTCTGAACCTGAACCTGAATTTTCAGGGTTTTGGGTTTAGGGTATAGGGTCTGAACTTGAACCTGAAATCCCCTAAACAGATCTCGAATCTAGATCCTCAATCCGAAACCCCAAATGCCCGAAAATCCCAAGCCACACAAGCCTACGTCTCTTTAGTCGTCGTAAAGACACGGGCCCTTTGCAAGGTGTATGAGGGTTTAGGGGCTCCAAATGGTTTCCTAGCTGTAAGGGCCTACGAGAGGTTTGTAGGGGTGTTATCATGGTGATCCGAGAGCTTCCCTAAACCCTAAACCCTAAAACCCTAAATCCTAAACTCCTCCTGCCGGCGTCCTGCAGGGTTTTACACGGGCTTACAAGAATCCCAGGGTCCCTCACTACGGTAGTGCAGCGAAAACTCTGGAATTTTGTCGGGGAAGCGAGAGGCACGGTCAAGGGGCCTTCAATGCTCTTCAAGGCTGTTGGGGCGATGCTTTTGTGGTTGTGTCTCATATGACTCCAGCAGTTTTACCATATGCACTGCTTTTCGTATCTTTGCAGAGTTGTTTGTCCAATGTTTTGAATTACGGCTCCGGCTTAAGACCTAGGATTTGGTTGGACACCTCGACGACTCTGGCTTCTACAGATGATCGAAGGTTGATACAAGACATACCGAAAATCGATACGTCTCGTTGAAAACAGACTTCCGAAACCCGAAACTCCCACAACCCCCCCCCCCCATAGAAGTCTTAAAAGGTGTACGACAAGTTCAAGCACTAGGGACCCGATTCTTGGCATCTTAAAGGACAACTGGCCAAACCCACAGAGCCCCCATACTGGGGGGGTTTAAGAGTTTAGGGTTTAGGAGTTTAGGGTTTAGGGTTTAGGGTTTAGGAGTTTAGGGTTTAGGGTTTGTTGAGACATCTGACATTTGAAAAATACAACAACTCTATGGGCCTACCGGGTTTCCGAGAAGTGAAGGAACATTCCCTTCTTCCCGGGTTCTTCTCTTGGGGCTCTCTGGGCATGTCCCTATAACTCTCCAGGTACCTACCATTTAGGGCCCCAGGGGCTCTAGTACCCAAAACCCTAAACCCTAAACCCTATACCCCTAAACCCCTAAACCCCTAAACCCTAAACCCTAAACCCCTAAACCCCTAAACCCTAAAACCCTATAAACCCTATATAGTAGGGTACCTGGGGCTCTTTGGGCATGTGCTGAGGCTCAAGCGACATCTCGCCGCGTTCCACCTGGAGCAGAGCTGTAAACTGTAAACTTCCATGGAGCGGCCGTATATTATATAGTATATTATTTATTTCGTATATTCTATGGTAGATTATATAGAGTAGTATATTATGTTGTATAGTATATAGTAGATTATATAGTATAGTAGATTATTTCGTACATTTTCTAGTAGATTATATGGTATAGTATATGGTATATTAAAGTATGTCAGGGGAAGAAGGCTCAAGGCCTTCGAATTTGGCAAGCTTTCGTCATTGGATGTACATAGCTTTCGGAAGCGTGCTGATAGCCATTACGCTGGGTTCTGGGGTTGTGGGGTTCGTGTTGCACCGACAGAAAGGACTCAAAATTCGGCCTTGTCTTGAAGCCGCTTTGTTCTCGCAGCCTTGCGCGTGCGGCGCACCTTGACTTCAGGCGTCAACACGCAAAAACTCAGGCTTCTCCTCTTGCAGCCTATACCATGGTATCCAATATAATAGTACCACAATAATACTCTATATCTTAATACCATGAATTACCATAACAATAATCCTCTACCCCATTGAAGCCTGGAGGGCAGGATCAAGGAGCTACCAGCCAGGGCCCAGGCGGCTGCTTTCTCGTCAGGAGTGAGCTCTGCTTGATCCTGCGGGGCTCGCCGAATGCAGCCATTTCTTGGGTGCAGTAATTAGTACCATAATAATAAATACTCTATATCTTAGTACCATGAATTACCATAACATTGGTCAGAGCCTCTCCTTCTGAGTTCAAAGGCCTACGTTGCACCGCAACACAGCTTCAGGGAGACCTCCTATGCGTGCAGGAACGGAGGGGCCTTGACGTGCCGGCGAGGTGCTCGCCGCTCCTCCGGCCTTTGCAAACCAACGGCAGTCTGATCAGCTTCGGTGGTGGATGTGCTGGCAGGTCTGGGGCCGGTGCGCTTGTAAGGTGGCATCGGAGACCATAAGTGGTATCGTCTCCTGCTGCCACGCAGTGTCTATATTCCTAGACGCATCAACTTGCTCTCTGGCTGCTCTGCGACAAGATCCACGTCACTGGGCTAACAAGCTCATAAGAATCCAAGCATGCCCAGCTCGGTCGCAGCCTCCATTTTGAGGGAAGGCACCTGCAGGAAACTGCCCCGATACCAGCATTCTGATTGGATCAACATTGGCATGATGCAGCTAGGCGGCCTCGGAAGGTCTTTGAGGCAACATCACAGCAAGACCCAACATTAGAAAGAAACCTACACGCCAAACTGGGCCTCAAGATGAAATTCTAAGTCTTAACCCTCAACCCTCAAATCATAAAACCAAAAAAACCGAAACCGTCAAACCCTGAAGCCCTAAACCCTCAAACCCTAAATAGCCCCAAACTCTCAAAACCTAGAACGCTAAAAACCCCTGAACCCCTAAACCTCAAACCCTAAAGCCCCTAAAGCCCTAAAAGCCCTAAAGCCCTAAAACCCTAAAAGCCCTAAAACCCTAAAAGCCCTAAAGCCCTAGCTAAACACCTTAAATGCCCTAAAAGCCCTAAAACCGCTCTCGGCCTTCAGTCCCTCCGCCGAGGAGCCCGCCAGGGGAGGTCTGGGCCTCGGTCCGGTTATGTTATCCCATGTTTAGATGATGTGGGTTTACACAATCAATATATATATATATATTTATAATATTCATAAATAAATAAATAAACAAATGAATAAACAAATAAATAAATAAATATATATATATATATATGTTATACACATAGAATATAGTTTAGGGTTTAGGGTTTAGGGTTCCCATGTTCTCTGTACCTTATCTGCGTGTTTAGATGATGTGGGTTTACACATGTTCCCATCTCTATACCTTATATACGTGTCTTACTAAACATATTGGGGGTAAAATGTTTCCCCCCAATATGGGTAGTGGTCATGTTATCTATGAAATCTGTGCCTTACGTGTTTGGATGATGTGGGTTTACACATAAGATATATATATATATAATATGTATATAACACACACCCTGACCATACAAAGAGAGCGGCAGCCCGATAAGCTGGCATACACGTGGGACTTGAACACAAGCTGCATGGTCCGGCTGAATCACTGGGCCTCTCCAAAGCCCAGTAACCCTGCAAGAGCAAGAATCAGATACCTCGCACCGGGCATCTCTGCTTCAAGTCCGACGCCTCGTCCCAGAGCCATCGAAGCATAATTCAGAAGAACATTTCACCAGCAATTATCACAAAGGCCGCGGTGCACATTGTCATCATCAGCTCGCACGACTGGCTATCGAGGCGAGGGCGTGAAGTGCGCGTTCGACAGCATGTCAAGCTTGTACCTGGAATCGGGCACGTCCTCAGTGAGAAGAGGAAACTTCGAGGCTAAAGGGGCCGAGCTCAGCTGTAAAATGCTTTTCTCCTGCACTCGGAGTGGGCCAAGGTCCAGGTGTGGCGAAAATCGGGCGATAGCTCAGGAAGAGGCTGTGGAAGGGCCATCGCGCCAAGGAAGAAACATGCAGGGCTGCTGAGACGAATGGCTTCTGAAAGCAGTCGATTCCTGGATCCACTTTTTCAGAATCCAGACGCAACTCTTTGGCTGGATCTCACCAGCAGCAGCCGCTCATTAACATCTAAGCATCAACAGAGGCATGAAGACATGACAGGGAGTCTGTGAAGCGGTTGATGGCAAGAGGGTCGCCCTTTCAACCCCCGGCCACCCTGTCTGTACGGTCGCGGACGCCCCACCTCCCGCCTTTCTTGGCGACGGGCGGGGGCTTTGCCTCAAAGGTTGGAAGCATCACAAAGCTTGGCATCTATTGCCGGCTGGGTCGCAAAGAGGGGACCCTCAATCCGAAACCCATCAAACCCAAATCCCAAACTCTCTACTATCTACCCTAACCCAAAACCCCGAAACTCCCAACCCCTAACCCCACAACCTCCTGAAACCTAGCCCTCGACCACCAGCCAGGACGCCAACTCGCCAGCGGTTCCGCCCTCGCTGCCCACCGGGCCGAGCAAGGCAGCGTCTGGGACTAAGGCCCAGCCAACGCCTTCTGACGGGGTTTCCCAGAGAGCCCGACACCCCGAAGTTAAGGATTAGACCTTAAATTATAGGGGCCTTTCAAACTATGGTTTAAGGTCTATTCCTGAACTGAGGGGTATTGGGCTCTCTGGGTACTATATGAGCTGTTAGAAGGGCTATACTTTTCTATAAGGGGTTTGTAAGAGGGTTACTACAAGGGATACTCAGGGCCATATACTCGATAGAGGTCTTTAAGAGGGTTTACTATGTGGGTTGTTGTATTATGAGCTACCACGACAAGGGCTATACTCTAGAAGGATCTGTAAGAGGGTCTGTAAGGGATACTAATTATTCGGTTTCAGGGGTCTGGACGGCTTCCCACAAGCGGTCCATGCCAGCTTTCCATTTGCACATGTGTTCTCTCAAGTCTGGTTCATGGGCTTGGCTATCATGACAGTATGTGCAGCTTCTGTGTCCTCCAAAGTCAAGAGTCTGCCATCACTATGCATCATTAGTTGCAGAGCTTCTGAGCAACGCGTGTGCAGGGTGCCAGAAACAGCGACCTTGCTACGTTTAAGGGCAACCTATCGGGTGGATCGAACTTGACCACTCGCATGTGATTTTCCCGCCTTACAGTGTTACCGTCTCGTGTCGCTTGTAGTAAAGTTTACAGTTTAGGAGGGTTCGACAAGTAGGAACCCAATGTGGCTGTCCCCATTCCGGCCAGGAAACTGATCTGGCTTTCGCCCAACTCCGAGAGCGGCCGGGCACGGAGCGCGTCTCCTGCAATTGGGGAGGTGGCAGAAGGATGCCTCCAGAGCAGCAGTGAACTGCACAAGCCAAACCTGGAAAGCTGAAAGCCGACATCAAGCACTTGTCACCAGTCCCCAGTATGTTTGATGAGTTTGATGTGAATGTTCAATGTACGATTGTGAGGCAGCCAAACCGACGGCGCAGGCTCTGTCCTCCAAGTGTCACCGTGTCCGTGGCCCACTGCGCCCAGCAGGTCTCGCAGTAGAACACAGCCTCCTCGAGAAGGTCAGGAGTTGGGTTTAGGGTTTAGGGTTTAGGGACCTTTTCGACCTCGAATACCGAGATCTTCAGTTTGAGGACTGTGGCGCACCCTGTCGTGTTCGGCCTGGCGTGACTACAAGTTAGGTGGCTCGGCCGAGGGGGGCTTATATAGGGGTTTAGGGTTTAGGGTAGTGGTTTAGGGTTTAGGGGTTTAGGGCTCTATGGGTTTAGGGTTTAGAAGCATTCAAAGGGTTAGGGGGAAAACGAGGCCAGGGTTTAGGACAAGGCATGACCTTGCTTGAACCGCCCAAATGATCCGCTGCGAGGCAGGACAGAAGAAGCTAACTCCTTTCGATGCAAGCCTCCTTTGTAGATCAGTTGCTTAGACTCATGTGGGATTTCTTTTGTCAAAACAGACAGAAACCCAGGTAGAACCCAAGAGCTGCGTGCTAGACATAGCCTTTCTGAAGTCGCCAGTCCGCCGGTGCCTCGCTGGCCCAGCCGGCGTCCACGCTGCCACAATTCGCACAAAGACCCATGCTGTCCTCCCAAGACTCGGGGAGTTCGGCATTGGGCAAGCTGAGCCACAAACACTTGATTGCAACTTCCGATGTGCGGGATCTTTTGCACCTATCCCCCTACTTGGAGGTTCATGGCTAGTTATATAAGTGGGGTTAGAAGTCCCCTAATATGGGTTATAACTTTCGCTACCCAACTTATAACCCCGCTTATAACCACCCATGAACCTCCCCCTAGAGACAGCACAAAAGGCACCCGCTCTCCTCTGGAGGTGGAGGCACCATCGGCTGCTCTGCGTAGATGCCCAGCGCCGTGGTGTTTGCAGATGAACAGGCCGGGTGCCGGCTGTGGCAGGCCTCCACTTGTGCAGGCCCTTGTGCCCCAAAACCTCACACCCCAACAGCAGCGGCTGGAACAAGCTGTCCGCAAGTCCATCCAGCTCGCACCCTCCAGCGACATAAAGCCATCAGTTCTCATCAAGAAGCGCAGGGCTCACGCTGAACTTCCGCTGCCATAGCTGCTCAGCATTTGTTCAGGATTCATGTGGTGGCACAATCGTACCTCCGAATGCCACCCATCCCAGGCTCGAGAGCACCCGAGCCGTCGCACCTCGCATCGTCGATTCGTCGGCGGGTTGTGCAGCGTGCACGTCGCCTGAGATAAACACACAAGCACCACACCAAGACCGCCACTTGCGACAAAGCCGTGTCAAGCAATCTCAAGGTTGAAGAGGATCAGATGCAGTTAGCCGCTCACCAAGTCCTGTACTTTTTCGGTTAGCACATTTGCGCATTCTACAGACATGGTGTTGATCCTGTGCTCCGTGCAGTTTCCACCGTTCGAATTCTCCCCAAGGGCTTTCCAAAAGTCGAGTTTTTCATGCCCGGCGTGATCGTCCAATTGCCATGTACCCACATGACACAGGCGTTGAATAAGGACATTGTTCTAGACAAGCGCTGCTTCGCGATGCCTATTCAGGACTACGGGAACTAAAGGTAACCTTCGGGTCGGGATTGTATAGGGATTACAGTACCCGAAAACCGTTACAGGTTACCTACTTTGCTACTAAGTTTCGGGACCTCAGGATGGCCAGACTCTCCCTCCCCTTCGCTTTGCCTTCCCTGTCTGTGGATTCAGTCTGCTCTTGGCGTGGCAGCTCTGGGTCCCTGGAGTTGAGTATGCAACATTAAACTCGCATTAGTTTTATGTGACTGTCTTCGATTCCATCATGCATCCATTGTGACATTATATATTCAGATTATCCTTTTTTGTATATTACATGATCACACATTGTTTTTTGCTCTACTCTACGCTCGATGTATCTGCTTTCGGGTGGCGCAAGACCAAAAATCGTCGCTCAGAGGCTCCAGGTCGAGGTCGCCGGCCTGCAGCTTCCTCAGAGCATGGGGGAGCTGTCAGGTACTATGATTATGATTTTCATTATGTTTAAGATGATGACGATGATGATCATGATGATGATGATGAATGTGATGATTCATATAATTATTATGTTTAGTATTATGTTTATGTTTTGAAATCTGATGATCATTATGATTAATATATGATTGTTCTGTTTACTTCATTATGAATTATGGCTATTCTGATTATCATTATGATTAATACGATGATTATGTTTCGTTTAATCTGCTATGAATTGTGACTATTTTAACATTATTCTTGCTATTTTCATTGCTCTGATTCCTGTTGTAACTGCCACTATAACTCTCACACAGCATTTGCAACGCTTGGGGGGGGGATTGCGGATGTTTCTTCCGACTGGTTCGGGTCCGGGTTCTGGTTGAAGAGATCTTTCTTCAAGCATCGTGCTCCGGAAATGACGGGATTTTAGGGTTAGGCCCTTTGCTTGTTCAACTCCTAAACCCCAAACCCCAAACCCTAAACCCCAAACCCTAGACCCTAAACCCCTAAACTCACGGCCACGGCTGGGGAGAAGTCGATGAAGCCAAGAAGACTGGTCTCACCCCCTCACACTCATACGGTTGATCCTCAGCATTAACTTCTTAAGGACTCTAAGCTATGGGAATTATGTGGTATATTCTTTACCATGGGTCATGCAGGATTTGCATCATCAGCCGTAGTTGTCATGGAGGGTCCGGGTGAGGGCTTGGGGATACAGGGAAGCACCTATGTGTGGTTCTCTAAATTAGGGTCCCTTCCTAGATGCCCGAAAATAGTGCGGCATCCTTCTAAACGGGCCCTACAAGTAACCCTACTTTACAGACGTACGCGTATGAAGCCCTAAACCCTGAACCCTAAGGCCAAAACCCTTTGAACCCTGAGCCCTGAGCCCCCTAAACCCCCTAAACCCAAAACTCTAAGCCCTAAACCCTAATCCCTAAACCCTAAGCCCTTAACGCTAATGGCTAAACCCTAAACCCTAATCCCTAAACCCTAATCCCTAAACCCCTAACCCATAAACCATAATCCCTAAACCCTAACCCTAGACCTAAACCCTAAACCCTAAACCTTAAACCCTAATCCCTAACCCCCCAAAACCCTCAACCCCAAACCCCTAAACCCTAAACCCCTAAACCCTAAACCCTGAACCCTAAGTACTCCTCCTTCGGCAAGGCTCCAGGGCTCTCGCGCCAACTCTGCCGGAAGGGATCCAAGGCTTCGGATCCACTTCTTCACCTCAGAGCTATTGCTGTAGGGGGTGTAGGGTTTAGGGTTTAGGGCCCCCTTAAAAGGTACGAATACTATTTTGGGGCTCCTTATTGGAATTAAAGTAGATGTAGGGCCCTAAATAACTACCAATACATTTTTGGGGGGCCCCTTATTAGAATTAAAATATACTCTACCCCAAAGTCCCGATTAAAACGCCCGGATATCAGGATGTCTACGATGCAAAGGAGAGCAAGGCGATGTGTAAAGTGTGGGACAAGTGACAAGGCACTTGGCCTTGTGGGGGTTTGGGGTT